CATGCATGACTGTAGGTGGATCGGAGATTCCTAGGGATGCATGCAGTCCATACACTAACTTATACTACACAAACACGCTCCGGGTCACCAGCAGAAGTGGGTATACATGTTCAGAGCCAAATCCAAGAATGCAGTCAAATGAAGCTTTCTCCTCCACAGCCAGAAAGGAAACACAGGTTACCTCATGTCACAGGAGGGTGGTCATTTCTGCAGACTGGTAACTTTTCTGGACTTATTTACACTTTTACAGTGCATAACACTTTTATACATTGCTTTAAATTCCTTTGGCTTGAATGACAATTGTGGAATGTCCTCCCTGCTGAGGACCACCTGGCACCAACCATACTATCCTTTCAAGGTCAGATTAAAACTGCCCTCTTTGCCAGGCTTTTATTATTTAACTGGCATATGAAAAGTTATGGCTCTCATTTTTAATGAAAATATTTTCAATGTTAAACCTCTACATTTTTGTACATTGGAATTTTTAGTTGTTTTAAATTTGCATACTGGAATTTTTAGACTGTGTTTTACTGTATTTGTATTTTTATGGGGGTTCTGGCTATTAGGCAGTATAGAAATGAAATAAATAAGTATACAGATAAATTATAAAGCAACATTTTAACATGGCTGTGGGAACTTGTCCTTCCTGCAAAAAATAGTTTGTAAAACCAGCCTATCCATTTGTAAAAACAGCCTGCCTAGTATAGCTATGTATTCTCTGGCTGTCCAGTTTATAGACAAATGTCTAAAATAAACAACCATCATTCTTCTTTACTGAGTTGCTCCTGTTTGCTCAATTGGTGCTTTCTGTATTTAAAAAATGTCCTTACATCCCTGATCTAAATGTGTATGCCTAATTACACACAGACACAGATGGTCAGTTCAAATTCAGAGAGACCAAGTTGTTTGGCTACTATGGACCCTGGTTTTGTAAGTCCCCATAAAAGTCAAGAAAGCAGTACAAAAAAACTTGTTGTAGTATAGTGGAAACATGGAACGACCCTATGCACAAGTCAACTGTTACTCTACCCTGTCTAGTAGCCACACAGACAACTCCATCATCAAACTGCAGTGAGCTGAAGTCGTCAACTATAGATAGATCAGTCTGCACAATCATGCCAAGGAAAGAAAGGACACGATCCATCCTGTCTCCCATACTGCTCATGGTATGTTGATGCTACGTTTATTTGGAGATGCGGGGTGGGGGGGTGGGGTATTTATTTATTTATTTATTTATTTATTTATTTATTTATTTATTTATTTATTTATTTATTTATTTATTTATTTATTTAAGATATTTGTATGCCGTCCTTTGCGAGAGCCTCGGGACAGCTTACACAATAAAATTCCAAAATACATAACAATATAAATAAATTGATGACCCACTCTGGCTGCAATTAAAATACGGTAATAAAATTCAGTATTAAAACTTATTAAAATATTGATTAAATAAAAAGGTCTTAACCCAGCACCAGGCGAACCTCTCTGGGGAGCGCATTCCATAGACAGGGCGCCACCACAGAGAAGGCCCTCCTCCAGGTACTCTGTCTCCTAATATCTTTCACAGAGGGTTCCTGGAGGAGGGCTTCTGCTGCTGATCTCAGGGGGCGGGAGGGCAAATTGGGGAAAAGGTGATATAATAAAGACAACTATATTGGAACATTGTCCCACACTAAATTGTTATAGTTAGAATTCAAAAGTATTAGTGGAAAATTTCTTGTCACCATAGCACCAGTCAATTACTTTAGTAAGGTGACTTTCCAGAGCAGATCTGGGATGCATGTGAAGAAGGAAACTAACTACACCGCCTGCCTGCTGCTTCCACTGCTGCTTCCCACCCACCATAGACCAGTGCGGAGGTCTCCTGAGCATTCCCCCATGGTCTCCAGGTCGACCTTTGCTGGTGTTGCCGTTTATGGGAGAAATGGCAGTGCCTTCAAGGGGGAGAGGAAAGACACTTCAAGAGAATCCAGCCAGGAGGAGGGAGTTGCACCACACTGGGTACTCCTCCTGGGTGGGGTCTTGGAGACTGGGCCTTTTTGTGTGAGCCTTTTGGGTTACCTTTTTGTATTTTATTTTATTTATTTATTAAAACATTTCTATGCCGCCCCTTGCCGTAGCCTCGGGGAGGCTCACAACATAATAAAATACACAATAAATTAAAACAATAACAATTAAAATATATACATTGGAATAAAATAAGCTGCCCTGGCCAAATAAAATTCAATGATACTAACATTTAAAATGCTGCTTAAATAAAAAGGTCTTCGCCTGGCGCCGAAAAACAAATAACGACTCTGTGGCTGTGTTTAACTGTACTGATTTGTAATTGGGCTTTGCCTGTGGGGGATTATAGCTGTATCTTATTATTAATATTATTCATTGTATTATGTATTGCATTATGTATTATATTATTGTATTAAGGTTTGTTGTGATTTTGTATCACAGTTAAATATTGTATTGCTTGATTGTATTGTTTTAATGTATTTTGTATTTTTATGGAATTTTGTTTTCTTCTATTGTAAGTTGCCCAGAGAACCTTATGAGCTATGGGGTAGCATACAAATGTAATAAATGAATGAACAAACCAACCAACCAACTGCATGAGCAACAGTCAATTTATGCAATACTGGCTTTAGCCAATGGTTGCTGGAAACATGTCTCAAGTATGTTTTATGATAATTTTCCTTTCAGAATTTGTTTGTTCAAAAGACAATAGAGAACAAAATCGTTTTTCTCCTGTAAAGACAACTGTATTTGGGTAGGGAGCTAGATATACTCACTTCAAACAGTGGAGAGGCCCTGGGGAAACTCTAGTAACACGATTAACAGTGGCACCATTTACAGTATTCAGATGAACTTCAGAGATGTAGAGGGTAACTGAAGAAGACTGCAGCCGTGTTTTCACAACTTCTAGAGGGCATGTCAGAATTGCACCTACAGTTCCTCCACATCTGCAAAGAAAAACAAGATTTGTAAGTCATCAAGGAATTAGTCATTTCCATACTGAAATAACTAAAAGACAGCATAAAAATAACTCAGAAATTATGGCAAGATTTCTGGCAAATGCTTTTCTTCTAAATGTGATCAATTGGATCAGTTCCTCAGTCACCTCTCTCTGTAAAATCTTCACTATTCATAAATTATGTGATATGGAATGGCAATAGGAGGATGGCAATATAGCCCTAGTGTTGCTCTACCCATTCTCTTCTATGTACGTAGACAACATTTAATGTTGCTAGCTGCACACTTTAAGAAATGACCTAGCTAAATTGACTGGTCTTGAGAGTTTTACTCTGTTGCTTGACACTGCTTAAGCTTGAATTCCCGCAAATCTCATAAAAATGCCCTCAATGACAACAGGTTCCATAAGTGTCTATACTTAAAATCTTCCTCCTTAGCTATTCCTTCATACTAAAAAGGCAGAATATTAAGAAAACTAGTCAGTTACAAAACATTATCAACTAAACATTCAAATGTAAGTTTATTTCCTCATAACCCCAAAAAGATCTAAGACTTCATGGTTTATGAGGAAAAACTAGAAGAACTAGCCTTTTGTAAGCAACCATAAATAACTGGAGCTAAAAGACAATGATCAGTTCTCACCTGCAACAAATGCAATACCAATGAAAACATCCCTTCTCCAACCTGAAACTCTCCAGTCTTTCCATTTACATCAAATTATAATGAAGTAAACTTCCAAGGTTCCAACATAAAAGTGCATTTCACATTCAGTACCTGATTTCTGTTTCATTGAAACATTATTTCCAAGAATAGTGTTAAAAATGAAGTTTTTACTGTAGCTCCCATTTTATGTATTTTTACTAATTCAGTTCAGTTTTTTATCAATAGCAATTTGTGCACCACATGTAATACTTTGTTCAGAATTCAAAAGGAATTCTGCCTCCAGTTTCATCTTCCTCCACCCACTTTCATACCAAAAGAAACCTCTTTCATTTCAATACATTTCATTTCAATACATTTGGTACAAAAACACATACTGCACAGGTTGTTGTTAGAGGTGATTATTCAAACATATTTTATGTGTTGTCCCGAAATAGTCCAGGCCTGCATTCAAAAACCCATCGTGCCTTGTTAACTATAACAGAACACTTAAAGAAAACAAAAAATCTATTTTAGTACAGATTAGTCAGCCTCCCAATAGCATATAATTGGACCTCTGTGTGTGTGTGTGCATGTGTGTGTTTTAATAGAACATGTGGAATGTTGTGTTCAAAATGCTTTAATTCTAAGTCTGCTCATTTACCTACCTTGTTTACCAGAAATATAGCAAAAGAAATTGCAAATTTATCTTTGTTACTCCAGGAGGTGATTAACGGAAATCTAGCCATTTCAATGCTAAAAACAATCAGTTCATATCCTTACAAATGGATATGTGATTTGGATATCCCAGAAGGAGATTTTTAACTATGCAATCTTATTTTAATATGTTTATATAGAAAATTTTTTAATTATATAGAAAAATTACACAGTGTTAACAAAGCAATCTTTCCATGGTGTATGCAGTCTGAACTAATTTGTTCAATAACCACTAAAATTAGCTGATATGGTCGTGTTGCATCACTTTAATAACTACATGGCACACCAAATCAAAGAAAACAAACATTTATCCATGTCAAACTTTTATAACTATTGACACATCTATGATAAAGTGGAAGCAACCTAATGGAAAATTTGAGGCAGCTATGGAACTAATCATCAATGAGAAGGTCTAAAAAGACAAGCTTAACTTCGTTTTCATGTCCAGTTTATAAAGATGGCCATTAGGGATCCAAAAGAAGCTGCATTAAGCCATGCATACCTAAAAGAGTGTAACAGAATAGTTCACACATAATGGCAGCAGCTCCTAGCTTAAGTACTTGGCAGGGGCAGCGACAGAGTCCATCAGTTGGGATCACATGTTTTGTTGTTTACACAGAGGCAACTCATAGGCAATGTGCCCCTCACCACATATCACGGGTTAAATTACACAGGTTTGGCCACAATGACATGCTAACTGGGTCACAGGTGCACTTCTTGTTCTTTCTTTTATACTGCACAGCAAACTGATTTGAAGCTTTATTTTCTTACCCACCTTCTTAGTATATTTTCCAGATGATTTGTACTGTAGCTAGTACTGATATTTTGAGTATTAAAAAATGGAAAGTTCTTTGGATGTTATAGACAGTAATGGGAAGTAACTTTAGCATCCCCTTTTCGTATTTTCTAAGACTTTTACAAATAACTCTATCCTACCCTTCCCAAATTCCATGCTAACACTGAAAGACAATGAGCTACATGAGCCTATTTATAGACAAACTGCTATAAATAGCATGGCTTTGCAAGCAATGTTTAATACAGAAATTTCAAGTACTGCATGACTTCCCCAACAAGAATGTCATATCAAGAATAACTGAAACAAAATTATCTCACCTGTGTAAGTGTTCAACACACATATACTCTAACAGGAACAAAATGTTTAATTACTGAGGCTTCTATTCTGTGCACACTTAACTTGGGCATAAGACATAAAATCTACTTTCAGCAGGTACTTCTAGCCAAAACATTTGTACTTTCACACATTAAAACTAAATCCCATTAAAAGAACTAAGACAACTCAAGCTAGGGGAGGAGCATTCAGCTATCAGTTACTCTATAAATCATAAATACACAAGAACTGTCTTGCTACAAGGCTACCCTACAGACAATTTCTTAGAGTTTGCTAGTGAGAAGCCAATGGATCCTAGGTTAGGACAAGAAGACAGACATCCTGTTATCCCACAACATCTGATAAAGTAAGCCATGAACATGGGGACACTATAACTGAAGTTATAAAATATCTACTCCTCTAGGAATTTACCAAACCTTTTAAGAATACTATATTGTCAATGAACTGCACTTGTATATCTCTTACTGTTCTAAATACCACACATGGAGGAGGTGTGCAAGAACCAGCAGAATAGTCAATACTGAAGTGTTTGTTGCTACCTAGACAGCAGAGGACAGGTTCAGAGGTATATTTATAAACAAGCAAAGAGAGAGTGAAAGTGAAAAACAAACAGTCAAGGTTTTAGGTACTATTTTGGTTCTATGTAAGCAAGCAATATCCAGACAAAATGTACTTTTCTCAGAAATTAGCTTAAAGTAGAGCCAACACTAATACTTAGCAACAGTACATGTTCAGTTTTCAAAACCTTGCCCTGGTTGTTCAGTCTCAAATGGAATTGGAAGAGTGTCACTCCTTGATGTCATACACTAACAAGACTTGAATTGTTCCAATTGAGATAATCAAGGCATTTACTGGAATGTTAACAGATGGACCTAATGGAGGACTGGAATGTTAAACCAATAAATCTATTAGATTAATTGATTAAAAGCATTGGAATTCCTAATTAGACAGTTAATTTATTGTATTATGAGTATTTCTAAAACTTCAAATAGCCGTACCATTTACACCCACACATAAAAGTATATTGTCTTCTATGAATGACACAGTACATCATCTAACAAAAGAGAAGAGAAAGAATTCCTGCATCACAACTATTGTTATATGTAAATCAAGACTGATTAAAAACAGCTATTTCTTAATTGGGTGACAATTCAATGTGAACCATAACCTGTTCACCTGGATCAATAACACATTCACAGTTTAAATATGTGCTTCACTGGAACTTTAAGCCCTGGGATTTGGTACATGTGTTTGAGTTGATGTCCAGAATCCTCAGAAGGAATATTTCTGATGGTGCCACAAGCTCCATCTCTAGGTTCCCATATAACTCATTGTTTAGTACCCTCTAGAATGGACTTCCTATAAATGGTAGACCATTGGTCCTGAAACTAGGGCCCATGGGCCAGATCCAGCCCACCATGCCCATTTATCCGGCCCGCCATAGAGGTTCTGGACTCCCCACGCACACATGCAGCGAGGCACCAGCTTGCTTGCAAGGAGATCATTTTGGACTCGCGCAGAAAAAACAACCTCTGCGCCCTCACGTCCCTGCCTCGCTGCCCGCGCCTGCACCACCTTGGCAGCCCACACCCATTACCGGCACCTTTCAACTGGCTCCCTGTTCAAAAAGTATGAGGACCCCGTGCTAGACATTTTCTATTTTGATGCTTAGATGCCTGCTTAAGACTCACCTCTTCATGCAGCCTTTCCCAGAGATAGGACCAAGTCAGTATAGTTACTCTTTTACAGCTAACCAGTGATTATTTTGTTGCCATTTTATGATTCTGTTAGTATGGTTATGATTACTGTTAACTGTGTTGATATTTCACTGGGAAGTGGTATATAAAGCTGTGCAATAAACATAAAACACCTGCATTTTGTGGTTGCAGATTTCCATGAATGCAGAAGATAAACAGTTCTTGTTGACATCCATGAAGAACTGAATTTTATAGACTGAAACCAATATTTTAACCAATATTCTGTATACTCGTATTTGACTTGTGAAAGACTTTCCATGATGCATAGATGCTAGGAAAGGAAACCTCTATATTTTGGAGGGCCACGATTCTCATGATCCTTCACCATTGCTATGCCAGCTGGAGATTCAGGCCAAAGCATCTGGACAGCCACAGACTGCCCATCCCAATTCATATTGTGTTCTTAAAATAAACATCCTCTGTGCCAAGCTCATAACATTGTTTGATGGGAAACGACTGCACCCAGGCTATTTAGCAGACTGCAGGCTGTAAGTAATTTGCACTGCAGCTACTTAAAGTTCTTTACTGCTACTTGACCATTAAACTTTCTAAGTCTGTAGAAATACAGACATTTACTGAAGCATGCAAGTAAATGATTAGCTACAGAAGTCGTTGAAAGTGCAGGAGAACTCTGCCACTGTAATCATCACCTTAAGAGTAAGGTTATATTGCTGCCAAGGCCCCAAGTTTTACAACACAGACATATCATTTACAAAAACAATTTCCCCCCAACTAGCCAAACTATCATCCATCTGCCAAAAACAAAGTCAGAAACCATTTTCACACGTTTGTCTTAATCCACATCAGTTGCACCACTAATTTTAATTGCTGTCCCTTCCAGGAAAGTGTGCTATCCTAAAGCTTAAGATGTTGACAATTTGGCCTCAACAGAATGCAGACTGGATCTGCAGAAGGCAGATTATATATTGAACAAATGTCTGCAGGGGACAGAAAATTACAGTGAATATATACACAAAGCAACACAATCACATCAATACACTGAAAACAGAAATTCTTAAATCTTACTTGTAATACTAAATGCCATCCTTAACATCTTAGCCTCATCTACTCAGGGTTACTGTGAGAATTAAAAATGTGTAGGAAGCATGTATACCACTTCGATTTCCTAGTAAAAAAGGTGATCCATAAAAGCCCCATTTTTGCAAAGAAGCCAATATAAAACACTTTAATGAATCAATCATATAAAGCAGTGGTGATGACCTAAGACCCAGATTCTATTTTGAAGAAACTCAAAGGGGCTGTCTTCAAGTAGAAGCTGTAGCAAACTCTTCATTCCACTGTTACTGATGCATACATATGAGCAGCAGGTCTACTCACAAAGTAGCAAGACCAACAGCTTCCACATTTCTACAAGAGAAGACATGGAATGGGGAGTATGTGCAGGGAGGAAATACTCTAATGATGTATATGCTACACTATTCTGACACAAATTGTTCCACGATTTTTGAATATATACCAAGAGGTAATTTATAAAATGAACTTACTTTCATTTCAAGTAAGTATGATTTAGATAAAGATTGAATTCTTGTAGAGTTCTTACAGAAATAAAGTGCCAGAGAAAGGGAGGGAAAAACTGTTCTACTAGCTCATATAAGGGATGAAAAAAGCTTGGAAAGCAGTATTTC